TGTTAAACTTATATAAAGTTTTTCTTCATTACCCATTCAAGCCGTCTCCAAGTATTATTAGTCTCAAAGTGGGTTCCTCGTCATCGAATTCCCTGTAAATGTGAATTGTAATACATTGAAGAATCGGAAAGACTGACAAAAGTTATGATTCAAAAACATAATAGTCATATAAGACTTTGTAATATCGATAATCACGCCAAAGAAAAACATAATAAAATGAATAATATGAAGATATAATGATATGAACCCCACTATTTAAAAGAAACCTTCTAAGTCCACCTAACTTATAACACACTTAGTCAACATAGTAAAAACGACACCCAAACCTCTTTAAAGTATTCAAAAAAAGGTATTTGATTCAACTTGTAATGATAGAAATCCCACTCAAATGGGTAAAGTTTCAGACTTTCTATGAAGAAGAATCCAAAATACAATCACATTACCAACATAGAAATAGTCTTTCTTGAGACTTTCCCGAAGACGGCACCAGATTATATTAGGTGAAACGTAGGATAAAAACTAGTTAATATATTCTTCAAAAACAGCAATAATATAGTTACAATTAAAAGTTAGAAAAAGATGACCATGTAGATTATTAACCATGAAAATGATTGATATTAGATCGCCCCAACTTGCTCTGAGTAGTTATTTGAATATTTCATTTGAAAAACCCAATATCGTAGAATTATAGGAAAACATACTCTAAATCAAATTGTTGAGGGTTGTTTCTTTGAAGTATTAAGCAACTTTCTTGCCATTTTATTTGATTTCTCCTGTACTGTAACTGCAATTGTATTTAATTATGTTACAATTACTCCTAACTGAAACTTTTCTAATTCTGAGATGATTTAGTTTGGTAATAAGTCTGTTCAGTATCGCAGAAATATAAAATATTCAAAAATATCCTCATTTTGATATTTACGTTTAACAGATAAAGAACAAAAGAACAAGGAATTGAATCATGGTATGTGTTGAGACAAAAATACTAAGTGTGAACTTAATGGAGATCAGAGTTCACTGATGCGAGAAAGATGCGATGTAAAGGGTTCAATGAATTTGTGGGATATATCTTTTAAATTTATAATGTGATAAATTAAAAAATGCACAAATGAGAATACGATATATTCTGGTACATTCTGCCAGCTACTTTAAAAAGAATTAATAGGAATGTTAACGATACTTGAACAACAAATACTTGTTACTTCTCTCAGAAGCACCCACGTACAGTAAAACTTTATAATACCTATAAGAATTTACGATTACTATGCAGTTTAGTTGAAATTTGGTTCACTTAGTCTACAAAGGTATAATAAATAACTGATTTATATGTAAAATAATAATAATTTTAAGAATTAGCCCATAATACTCTGTAAATTATAATTAAATTAGGAAAAATACACTCATTAAATTAACAAAACGAGGAAAATGATGCGATATTTGAGTAACACATGAGAGTCACTAATCTGATGGGATAATTCAGGGATCCAAGATTAATACGAAGTGTAGACGCTTTATTGTTATGTTTGTGTTCACCAAAAGAATGCAATCCTAATTTAACATAACTGAGATATTTTTTTAGAGGGAATAAAAATATAATTATGTGAGTGTGTGGCTAACAAAAGACATAAAGCGCTATGAAATTATTCTTGAATATAATTTTATTATAATAATAGGAATCAATTTTGTTTTTAGGGAGTCTTTCTCTTCAGTTTGGTTCAGTACAAACCACTCGATTACATAGGCTACGTCTATCCATGGTGGGGCCAGCTGATTGGTTGGATGCTGGCGTTGTCATCTATGCTATGTATCCCTGCGTACGCCATCTACATTTTTCTTCTTACTCCCGGCACTCTCAGAGAGGTAAGGTTTTACTACTAAATAACACCCAACAAGAGTTATCACAAGAGAGTTACGACAATTAACTTCAACACTTTCGTTGTCATCTAAGTGAATCATGATATTATTATTTAAAAGAGAGGAGTCACTGGGACGATTTTGATCATGGAATAATTATCTTATGTGGATAGGATAAGATAATTTAACTCATCTATTCTTGAGAAAAAAGTGTAAGAGGTGATCTTATTGAAATTTACGGGATTATCCATAAGATCGATGGGATAAAAGCCTATTTTTTATTGTATTTTGAAGACAACAGGGAGAAGGACACACAACGTTAAGATTTTGAAAAGGTAGATCTGGTTCCAATTAAGACATTTTATTTTTCTAACAGGGTGATTGGCTTATTGAATGAGTTACTGTCCAAAGTGATGGAAACAAGCATTTACAAGAGTTTAAAAGATGAATTGTTAATTTCCTTTAAAATAAAGGATGAGTGGATTTTAGTTTTTAGTTTTTCTCAATGATGGATGTACAGGGACAGATTGACGGACCAAACAGTTCTTACTGTCTGTATGTTAAAGACAGATTTCAGATACCACATTTATATTAGCAACAGTGAATAGTAGCAAACACACTGGTGGTTTATAAATTACTTGTCTTATTAGCCCAGACCAAATATCTTACTTTTAAGAAAATAAAGTACTCGTGTAGATAGGATTATTGATTTAATTATTTCTAAGTGCACATATTATAAAGTCTTGATACTGAAAGCCACTTCACTAGTTATTAAATGACCATATAAACACACATTTAATGACAGTAAAGTAAAATGTACTGCTAGATACATGTAATTTGCAATATATATTAATTAAATGTTTTCAAATTGAAAACAATGTAAATGGTATTATTATAAGAATAGTGGGAGTAAACAAAAGCAGTATATTAAAGCTCAGGCATAATATTTTCCTGTTGTCACACATAACACAAGGATTATCCCTGATTCTTAGACCTAAATTTTTCCTATTACCCCTAAAGCTATTTATTTTCTGAACTATTTGCCTTTACAAAAAATGACGGCTAAGAACCTCATGGAAAACCAAAGTGACTTACACCAACATGAAACCAAACCAAATTTTACGATTCCTAACGAGCAAGAACTACATCATCATGATTCCAACTGATAAAGGTGATTCCATCGTTTTAGACAAAGACATATGGTTTAAAAAATAGCAATGAATGAAAAATACAAAAACCTTAAGAAGGATCCGACCCCAACTACCATTGCTAGAGATTTGGACATATAGCAACTCACTGTCAAAAATGTAATTTATGTTCTAATGTAGGAATCATATAAGATATCAGGATGTGTTAAGTAAATCATCAAAGTGCGTACAGTATTGTGGAATGCGTGAAATAATCTTTACCAAAATTTCCGGTTTGTCTCGAGGCACAGAAACTTGAATGTCTGTGTGCTGAATGTAATTTGTTACCAAGAAAAATACATTTGTTGCTAAAGGTTTCAAGAAGTGCTTCTTTTGTGTAAGATCTCATACAGAGGCAATTAAAGGGGCCTCAAAATCTAAGAACAGCCATAATCAAGACAACTACATTAGGCTTCAGTTACTATTCAGATGACAAATGTAAATACTTCCAGACAAAAATAGATTGCCCAAGACTTCGATATGTGCCCATCCAAATTATAGCAGAGTTGGATAACTGCTATTCACAGGTTTGAATAATTATGCACATATCAGAATTATTGCCAAGGTGGCTAAAAATATTTATTGTATAACTGTCTTGAACTAAATAAAACATAAGATTTATTGCACTCTTGTGACTTCTCTCGTCTGACCAGCCACTTTGAAATACTGCAATGAAATGCACAGATCTTGTGAGTCCAAAAATTGTATAGATACTGAAGATCTCCATGTTGTGATTATCTGAGAAACTTAGGTGAACCTCAGTTAGAGTATTACCTTGATTATACTGTTGAGGACATAGGAGATTTTGTTTATTAACTTTACTTGATATTTTATTTGTTTCAATTTTTAATGTTTCTCTTCTATACTGATGTATAATCCTAGTGCTTACTTTAGTCCTGAACAGTTACACCAAATGGCTTATTGCATAAACATCAGTGCTGTTTTATATAGAATTTTTTATGCACGTTCCTCTTTGTGTGGCTCTGAACATATAAATGCGAATTGTTTGGGTTATTTAGGAACTACTTAATACAATCTGTCTCTATAATAGAAATAAAAACACTTTAAAATGACATATATCTATGTAGAATTATACGGATTATAACTTGTAAAGATATAATAGAGTAAATAATTTATTGATATCTATGTTAAATACTTATAATTCAAGATGTCCTCTACTGAAAATATCCATTACACTTTGAATTTGTAATTATTGTTATTCATGTTTGCCTGAATCATGCAGTTTAAATTGCTTAAAACCATTTTCACTATAAAGAAGTTCACAATATTAAACTTTATCACCTAGTTCTATGTTATTTTTTATTATACTGGAGGACAAAATTTCAACTTCTTATTTCAATCTGTCGAAAAAGTCTTGAACCTTATTCAGTCAAGAACTGTTAAATTGAAATGTTCATTTGCTGTCTTGAAGTGTAAACACATTATTTTTTGCACACTGTTGACCTTTCACAACTCTAGCTATCACTATAAGAGGCATAGTTAAAATTCAGTTGAATGTATATGATACTTAACATCAATTGGTATTGCAAAAGTCATATCTGTTTGTTAGTTTTTTATTATAAAAAACATCTAAATTAACCTAAAAGTTATCCCAGGTTCTTTTACAGAGCAGATTGTCGCAGTATCTTGCTAGTGTATCAAACTTTAATTTGTTCTAAGCTATATTATGGGTGCGTTCTGTATGATTCTGGCCCTTAATTGCTTTCTAAAAGCAATATGCTGTTTGACAACTTTTTTTGGATAAACTACTTCTGTTTTACTTTATATATCTTGACTTAGCTTTTCACAGACAGTATCTCATTGGTCAGTATGGATATAAACAGATATAATGGATTGAGAAGCTCATAAAGTCTCTTTCTAAAGATTAAACCTTTCTTAATCAATATAAGTGGAACTCTGTTCTCTGTCCAGTTTTTTAATTACGTTCGGAGACATTTTCTTCAATGTCCCCTGAATATTCACCGCTTTTCATCGTCGTAGCTTTCCACCACCCTAGTTATTCTCTGATATTTTAGTTGTTCTTAGTATCTCTGATCATCTTTGCATAGAGACTTTATTGTCAGATAGCCTAGATATTATACCTAAATATAAGGATTTTATTTGTATCTCGAGCTCCTGAAATTAAATCCTTTCTTCTCCTATATCATTCCAGAAACAACGTAGTTCAATTTGTGTGTTTTCTTGTTGCACTTACTTAGTTTGAGGGTATTGAAACCCCTACTTTAAAATTACAATTTTACCGACTCTCTCAGCAGTCTCTATAGTTTCAAACTAGCGAGTCACTAGCTATCCAGTTATTAGTGTAAACTTCACCCCTTTATAACTAGTAGCCGAACAATGTCAACCAGATTACTTGTATTTGGATTCCTAGTTACGTTGACATTCCTGGTAATGATATTGTAGACAGGTCTATCAAAGCATCATTGTTTCCAGCCTACCCGACAGTTAATTATGTAATCATTTCTTCCAGAATAGTCACTAAAATTCTAAAATAATAATTACACTCAACAATAAATAAATTTAATTATGAGTGACATGCAAACTACAAAATCTTTTAGGACCACTGTGTTCTAGGTCATCAATTGGGTACCTTTGCTGCTAGCAGCGTTTTGGGCTCTTAAACCTTATATTAAACAATTTATTTTGAAATATGTTGTTACTCATGGACCTACCATTGGGCTAACTCCATGATTGGTTGTTCAATATAATGGCCTCTTTCCATCTGCGTTGGCTAGGTCTCAGAATTAGATGATATGACCTTCTCATACTCCTGGAATTAAGTCAGATTCTGTCTCATTAAAACATATTGAGTTAAAATAATTCAAGCATACCCAAGTTGTTAACGAAGTCGGTGGTTAAGTTTAATAGCAAGCAGTCATACATGGAAGCCTGAATTTGATATTTCACCGAATGATATCTAGCCTTCACCCAAGCTTCAAGATTTAAGGAAGGGCAGAGAGAAACTTTAGGTAATAATAACTTTACTCTTAGCAAGAGAAAGTTATCAAATGGCTTGAAATTCAGATATGGCACAGGGAAAAAATATCTTGGATTCAAGTCACTAGAAATAAAAAAATAAAAGAGTTGCTCATTGTTCCCAGCATTAGCAATAAAAAAGCAAGGTAAAGAAGAAGAGGAGAAAGCATGAAATGTAAATAAGAGACCAGAAATAAGGCAAACAGATATTAGGGGATCTATATGTACTCGATTGTGATAGAGTACATATGGAATCCCTAAACTCTGGAATGAATTAAAAATTTATAGAAAAATAAATGAAATGTTTCTTCAAGCTAAGAAAAGGAAAATAAGAATGTTACAATATAAAGTGGTGGTGGAGATTTATGTACCAACTGACACAACTGATAAAGGTTGCTCTGTTTCTTGTCTAGGATTCACTGAGCTGCATATTTAGGCTTCTAACACATGTTAGTCTAGGTATCTTTATTTTTGTTGATCTTCTACTGATATTTGGAAAAAGATATGTAACTTATAGAATGGCTTGCTTTGCAATTTCTACAAATTATTTCCTCATGTAGTATTTAGCTATATCTCACACATTTTAGGGTTTGTGCACTAACTTGAAATGTGACCAACCTTTTGGCTTTTAAAACAGTGAATTATTTTTATTGTGTATTTTTTGGTAAACTTCAGCTTTAAAATTTAGACATTCAATATTAAGACTGTTCTTTATTAAGTCATGGGCTGGATTCTTAATTGTAAGAGTTACTCCCATCACTGCTGTTTCTAGGCTCTTTTCTTCAAATTATAATTCTTTCAGTTTTTTTGGAGTCATCTTTCTTCCTCGTCCTTTGATTTTATATTTTTATTATGTAAGATTAATGAGGGCAATAAGAGAATATTAGTTTCAACTTTATTGAAGATGTATTTTCAGACCATAACAAAAGCAATATTTGTAATGGCTGGTTGTCGTACGGCTTTGATCATATCTCTAACAGATGCTTTAAATAAATTACTAGATCCAAAAATATAGAGAACTGACATAGTCAAAGCAATTTGTGACTATTTTCTAAGCCAGTCTCAAACTACATTAGATTTCATTCAAATTTCTGAACATCTGTGTTACAAGGATCAACCTTTTGAACAGTTGTTGCAGACTATAGAAGATTATGTACATTACATATAATATACAATTTGGTATTAATGAAAAAAGAGCAAATTTAGAAAATTATATGATACCACTATACAACTGTTGAATGTATATCTGAAATTAAATAAGCCATTAATATTAATCTCTCTAATAACATAACATGCAAAAATTATAAAGCTCCTGAAAAGCATGATATAGCATAAGAGAACATAATATAAAATTTAAGGACAACAAGGGATCTGTTGGTCCATCTATGCTATCCCACCCACTAACTTAAACTATTAAAAACTTTAAGTAAGCCCTTATCATTTAAATATTTATCAAGTCTTTATGTAAATTCCCTTAAATTTACTGCATCCACCACATCTGAATGCAATAACTCTATTAGAAATAGATCAAATTCGTACTTATAATATAATTATGGTAATGTACCTTTATTACCTTGCATTTAATATAATTAAAAGTCATTTACCTTTTAGTTGCTAAACTCACCAAATAATTTAAATCCTTCTCCTAAAGCAGCACCCTCCTTTTTACAGCCAGAAATACCAAAGATTTTAATATCATCAGTAAATTTAAGCAATTTATTGACCATTCTTTCATCAATGTCATTGGTGTAAAAGCTGAAAGAGAAAAAGGTCCTGACTATAAGCCCTAAAGTATCACATTTGTGATATGAACATGATTTTACTAAATGTTATTTATAATAACAACCCTTCTGACATTTTCCACCTAGATGCAATTTTATCCTATGAGCCAACTGATTTCCCACACCTTTTCCTACCACTGATGTAAGACTAATGGGCTTGTACAGTTTTTATCATCTATCTTGCAAAGAGGACTAACATTAGCCAGCTTCCAATCTTCTGGTACTTTACCACTATTCAAGGACTGCAAAAATTTAGCAGCTGACTCACATATCTAATCCTTTACCTTCATCAAATCTTTGGGGAAATATTATCTGGCACAAGAGCCTTGTAATCATTTAAAAATCTAAATTTTTCCTTAACAAACTCAGAATTAATGTGATCATCCTGTTTTATCTCGTTTCCGTGAAGCAATTTTTCAGGCTGAATAATATTGCTTAAACCTTCATTAGTAAAAATTGAAGATAAAAAGTATAATTTAAGTACCCAGTAATTTATAATCATTAAAGGTGAGCCTTCCTTTACCATCCCCAAAGACCCTACTCCCATCCTAGTATTTTGCTTCTATTTAATGTATTTAAATAAATTTTCACAATTAATGTTTACATTTTCAGCCAACCTTTTTTTATATATTTATTCGATTTCCTAATGTCATGTTTGACCAGCTCTCTTACTCTTCTATAGTCCTTTAAGTCTTCCATCATAGCAGTCAATTTAAACTTCTTAATTCATAATGCTTTTCTTGGTCTTTTACTTGCAGCAAGCATTTTTTTCCTATAAGGAACATGTTAACCTTGAATATTTAAAAATATATTCTTAATTTTTTTTCAAATCTGATCAGTCGCTCTAATTAATTCAAATGCATAATTCACAACAGACAATTATTGATGTACCCTTCAAAATTTGAAACTAAAATCTCATTATTCCTGATTTGTTACGATGTAAAACATCAATCTTAATTGCGCAATGATCACTTGCACCCAGATGTTCCCCATTCTCCACCCTCTCAACCATTTCTATATTAGAAGTTAACAATAAGTATAAAATAACGTTACTCCTGGTAGGATCTTTGACAAATTAGCGAAGGAAACCATCCCGAACAGCTTTTAAACACCTGTCTTCCTCATGGTTTGAGTTTAATATTTCCCAATCTATATGCTTGAAATTAAAATCTCCCATTATAGGGACCTCATTTACAACAGAAATCTTAACCTTGCTGTAACGTTTCTCATTAATGTTATCAGTTTCGTCAATTTAAATAATAACAATATAGAACCTAATTCGTATGGCAGTGGAACATAATATTGTAACTAAGTTTTGATTGTTAATTTATATTTACCAACTTTAAGTAGATTGTACAAAATATTAATGTTTCTTCTTACCAGATGTTGATATGTTTGAGGAAATAATTAAAAATAACCATCATTCTATTATCTTTAGGTAATTTTGTACATATTAATTTTGGTTGTAGTAAACACAGGTTAGACTGAGAGTATTTGTATGACATAGCTAGAGAAAGTAATGTGCTTCGTCTAATCTTTTTCACTTAGAGTGTAACAAGAAATACGTTGAAATTTAATGTACATCCTGATGTTATAAATTACCATGTGCCAGTTTTAACTTTTTGAAAGAACATTATAGCAACAACAATGAAGCTCAAAGATACAAATTTAACAAAGCTAACTCATTGATTTTAATGCACTAGTTAAATGTAATGTTTAACATAACATACGGACAAGCAAGGGGCCACTTGCATACCCATCCACGAGAAAAATATAAAATTTACGATGTGACTCATGTAAACGAGTTAAATACCATAGTATAATTGTATTTGTAGTTTTATTTCAAATAGGGTATATTACTAGTCTTAATAAGAAATGAACGAGTAAGTTAAATGCAATATTTATTCTTCAAGAAATGTAAAACTTTTTTATTCCCTTGACATTACAAGCTGCACAGAATTACATTATTAAAATAGCACTGTATCTAGCTTATTGAACCTTACTACTTTGTGAATTACTCGTATTAAATATTTGAATACTTGAAGAAGAATTAAGATTCTCTGTTATTTTATAGTAAGCGAAACTTATTTTACTTGGTTTGTTGGCTATTTTCTTTATCTTCTTAATGAATACGTCAGCTAATTGCTTAAGCTTAAACATGTTTAACTGTATGTTTATTATTTTTGTATATATATTTCCATTTTGTATTTCTGTATATACTTCGGAACGTATGTGATAATGGAATAAGAAGGAAATTAAAAAAGTCATAAGATGGTGTATAAAGAACTTGTAATTAGTTGGTTCCAACCGGATTCAGTTGCATTTTGTATATTGCACTTATCACGAAGATGTTATAATAATCAAGTGATCTACATGTTAATACATCCAGGACTTTAATTTAATTACCAGATTCAGTATCCAGTTATTGGATCCTTCTAAACTATTCAAGAAGTCTTGAGAATTGGAGAACTGTTTAAATTTCATTCCCAGTTCATTGCTGAATGTAATATAACGTTTTCATGACAATATGGCACACAGTGATAAATAATAACATGAAGTTTGTTTGCGTGATTGAAAATGGATCATCATTTGAGTGCAAAGAAATAATTTGCGTAAGTGACCAAAAATAATACAAAACTCTAGTTCTTTTAATCAGTTTGTAAAATAAAAATAAGTGGAATAGTGGACAAGATGTTTTCATTCTAATGCGTTGAAAACAGTTTTGAAAGTTGGAAACTTCCAAATTATTTTAGGAACTCTCGTAATAACCTTGATGTTCAAATAAATGTTTTGAAGCCACTTAGTCCGTACTACTCGTCTTCAGCAATCGTTGATCAACTTTCAATTACTCTTTGCCCATCTCAGGTATGATAAGTTTATCACAGTTTGAGATGCAGACATCAATGTCTGTTTCACATGCATCTAAATATGTGATTCACGTGTTACTTATAATTATACCATCATAGGTTATCAATTTTTGTAAAGTATAACTAAAAGCATCACTATTCTCAGTTATAGCAATGTAGATAAAAACTGCTTGTTACCAGCCAGTATAGAAGCTTCCCATGAAACAAAAAACGTAATTAATATCACAATTATTTTTAAATGATTTTAATTCTTGCTTGAAGAAAAAAATCGGAGAGAAAAATGTTTCAAACTTAAAAAACAAAATGCTTTACTTGTTTTTTGAACTTTGTAACATTTTCCAGGCAAAATGTTATTAACATTAATGTGATATAGATTAATATTTCACAGATGGGTATTACTTAATTTATCGACACACACACACACACACACAACTAAAAAAAAAGTATTCCAGTGATTTATTTTACAATATATGTATAAATGTGTATTTGAGAGTCTCATATACTTGTTTGTTTACTACAACTTCATATTTGTTCTGTTATAATAGGTAGCTTAGGCTGACGGTTGATTGGTTGGTTCTAAGCCGTATTTGTTATGCCTTAAATTTCTTGTTTCGTGTATAAGTTCGAGGCACCACTAAGCGTGAAACTTTATTCGTGCTACTGGTTGGCTGATTACAGCATTTCTCCATTTTTTATAAAAGTTTTCATTATGAGTGGGCAACCAGTTGGGGTCCTCACCCCTGTTGATTTCTTCACCACCTTCTGGTAGCTGATGTTTAATGGCGAAAACTTGGTAAAGATTTCAAACCATGTTCAAGGGACACCTCTTTATTACACATATGTCCCATTTTGCTAAAGGTTAGCAGTGCATCACGAATGGTTGAGGCCAGGAGAAGATAACTTATCCTGTAATACGTAACTTCACCCATATTTCATTGCAGCTTACTACTGAGTTTCTGACACCTAAAAATTGTTACATTGTTTATAGTTTTACATATTACTGTCATCTAACTGATCTTGTGTTCGTTATTAATAGTATGCATAGGAAAATATTATTTTGGTGTTCTATAAGTTAATGTTTGTGTTTCTTGTTACTTTATATTAGCGATGCAAGAAACTGTTTCGACCGGACATTGATCTTCTGACAGAAGTCCGAAAAAGACAAATACGTGAAAGTGGAATAACTGCAACAACGGCCGTTTAATTCGTTAGATAAATTTTCAACTGAATTAATAACACTCCTGATGGTAGATGTCACCTTTTACTAAACGATAGTTTTGTGAAGAAAAAACCAAAATGTTTTTTCTTGTTGGTTTTCGATGAGTTCCACGAGAGATATCACTGAATTTAAGACTTTAACAACAACAGTATTAACACAATCAACAACAACAAATAGAAATCAGTTTAAAAACTAAATTAGTTTGAGTTATCTAAAACTACCACAAGAAACCACCATTTTACAAAACTCGACTTTTTAATTAAATAAGACGGGAATTATTCATCAGAAACAAATTCAAGATATCCTGATAATTTCATTAAAATTAGATATGTTAAGTTGCACTACCTCTGATTGATCTTTAAAAGTTAACAAGTGAAAAGTGCTATATTCTTGAAATACATGATACAGGATATTAACACAGTTGTATTTTTGTGACATTTTTTCTAATTAGTTCCACAAAAGCTTTTTTATTTGCTGGTATCAAGAAAGCTTATATAGCGTATAAAATGTCTTCAAACGTATAGAATATTCTTGAATTTACTGTAGTGTGAAATTGTTCATATAACACAGAATATGTTTATTTCATTTTCTCGAAATTAAACTTATTTGATTTTGATATGTTATCGTATAGAAGCAATACGAGAAAAAAAGGAAAATTATATCGTTCTGTTTAAATTAAATTTGACCTTACTAATATTAAATCTATTTCGCAAATGCAGTACACATTTTCTTTTTTTTTCTAAGTTAACAAGACCACCATACTTACTAAGGAATGTAGTATATTAGTAAAACCAAAATCATCTTTTCTTAGTATGTTATAAAAAGGAGTAGTGTACGTTAGAAATCCTAAAACCAGCGTTTCGCGTTTCCCTATGCATTCCCATATCTAGCTATTTAAGTGTTTTTTATTACTTTTTTGTTTTAAATTGTTGATTTTAGTGTTGGAATGAAAAATACGTCTTTTTTGATACAAATACAGAAATGATAATGATTTTTGGCAAATATATCTTAATATTTAATACAGTTTGCTATTTCACATCTGTATCGTCTATTAAAAATAAAGATATCATTAAAAGAAATATTCAACTTTATTAACAACCCATTAGGAAAAAGAAAATTTGTCATTGTTGTAAAAACAATGCTTAGAAGAAACGAGAAGCTGATAGATTTGAAATATATAAAATTATTAGGTAGAAATCATTTGCACCTATTTAACTCCCTCGTGGAATTCAGAAAAGTTCTAAGTTCTTTTTCAACCGTAACTACAAAATCATGAAGTTTCTATATATCTAGAAATATTAAAATTAATTAATTTATTTACTAGAAATTTAATGAAAAATGTTTTAAAATATATAACGCTAAAATCTACTAAATCGCATTGGAGAGATACCTTAAGTATTTTGAAAATAATTTAGTAGTTATTGAACTAATTAATTTTTTGTACAAAGTTATATTTATTAGATATCTTAATTAAAATCAAATCAACAACTTGCAAGTTTTCTTATCTTAGATAGACTGCTGCAAGTGAAGGAACAAATCTTAGTTGAATTTTCATGAAACCAAAAATATGATAAACTTGTTGAATATAGAACTAAATTTTCTATAAGATGCTCATTTAATTTTAATTTTATTGTATTCTTAGTATAGCTGATTTTCTTTGTTACAATATTTTCAAATTCTTAACTTTCTAGTTGGAAAGTTAATTATTCCTGCTATTTGTGCACTCATTCGTTTAGTGAAGAAATTGAAAATCGTTGTAAATAAGCACACGGGGTTGTTTTTTTCAAAAATCTTCATATTTTAAACAAAAAAGAGTGAAAAATAGAGACTTTGGTACGGACCTTTTTAGAATATAAATTCAATATTAACATTTGTTTCGTAACTGTTTTCCTTTTAAAATTGTCTCAGTAATAGTGGTGCGAGATGATGTATTGTAACCTGTTGTTGATGTTATTATTCTACTTTACACTGAAGTATTTTCTAATATTTTGATTGTAGACATATAATTACATTCAGAATATGTAGTGCGTGTTGTAGATTTCAGTAATGTAGTAGTTTTTCTTTTTTTATGACTGAAAACTGAAGTGGAATTGTTTATTACAGCGTGTGAGAATCCAAAATAAAGGTTTTCATTCTTCACATGAAAGTTTCTTTTTTTCTGCAGTAGGAATAAGAATTATATAGAGTTATATGACGGAACTTACTAGATAAAGGAAGTCATGTAATCCTTGTTAGATTAAACTATTTACAACTTTAACAACATTCTTTCTTTTTTGACAATCATATAAGTAAAGATTTTCATTCTTCACATGGAAGTCTCCCTTATTTTCTGCAGTAGGAATAAGAATTATATCGAGTTATATGACGGAACTTACTAGATAAAGGAAGTCATGTAATCCTTGTTAGATTAAACTATTTACAACTTTAACAACATTCTTTCTTTTTTGACAATCATATAAGTAAAGATTTTCATTCTTCACATGGAAGTTTTCCTTATTTTCTGTAGTAGGAATAAGAATTATATCGAGTTATATGACGGAACTTACTAGATAAAGGAAGTCATGTAATCTTTGTTAGATTAAACTATTTACAACTTTAACAACATTCTTTCTTTTTTGACAATCATATAAGTAAAGATTTTCATGCTTCACATGAAAGTTTCTTTTTTTTTCTGCAGTAGGAATAAGAATTATATCGAGTAAGGTTTCAGTTGGCAAGATAAAACAAGTGTCCAGAGTTCTTCTCAAATTAAGTCCGAAACAAGATATAAGTTTGAAGATATAAATCTCTACGTAATAATATAAACAACTCATATGACACAAGAAACATTATACTGTACGTGACTGATACATGAAAAGACAGGTCACAATTTACAGAGTGGTAAAATATGTCATGATGGAAAGGAATCTACGGAATTAGGACCTACGAAAATGTAGGAATAGAAAGCTATAACCTTTCTTTTGGTCTATTGTCGCAGGTGTCTTAGTATATTTTCTGCAGTTTATAGGATTATATGTATTTCTAAGTAAAAGAAGAATAGAAATTTATGTATCCATTGACCTCCCTGTCTCTCTACAGACTTACAACGTTAAAATCCGGGGTTCGATTTCACCTAGATGGACAGAGTGCAGATAGCCCATTGATTAGCTTTGAGCTGAAAAACAACAAGAACAATTGACAGATCTTGTGGCTGATATTAAAGTTATTGCAATTTCTATTTTTCTGACTACAGATGGTATTATCTACAACAATAATTGCACAGATAAGCTTGGTATTTCTAAGATTTGAGGAGGGGAATATTTCATTTCTTAATGAATTACTAAACATAATTCAGATAAAATAAAATATTCAATTAAATCTTCCAATAATAATAATATGTTATTCTACGATTCATAAAACAGTTTGTTTCAAAGCAAGAGTATGTCAGAACACCGTTTCTTAACTTATGACATTTTCATAAAGATAAGTTAGTTGGTTCATATTATCTTATAGTACAAACTTTCCTTCCTGAAGATATAAAATTCACTTGGTTTGACTAGGGTACTTACATTGATTGGATGAGAATTAAATAATGTGTATGCAAACAGAGTTTAATAATAGAAAAGTAATAAACTATTTTTAAATGAATATTAAACTTATTACGTTGATGATCGTATTTGTTGAATACAATATACTTAAAGTTTTTGATTTAACTACCAATTCATCAAATACAAACGTCATCTATATTATTCGCAACATTGTTAACGAAAATTGTAACACAGGCTTGTAGATAAAGTTTTATTAAACTCTGTAGGATTAGCAGTATTTAACAAGTAGATAAAATACCCATTTTTTCATTTATGTGGATATCACGAGGATTTTTAAAACTGGTATGAGCCTCGCATATTTTGAAAGTTTCCTAAAACACTCTTTTAGTAATTTCTAGAGAATGTCAATATCCAAAGGTGATACTCTCTTTCAAGTGCAATATACACAGAAAGTGAAGATAAAAGAAACTTACTGGATGGTGCCGAATGTTAGCATGCCGGACTTTAGAGTTGATATTCGCGCCCCCTTACAGCTAAAAAAATAAACTAATTTAAAAATTGCATTTAGCACTTACCAGCCGTGGGTGCATTATAATAGTCAAGGTTAGCCACATTATGATTAGTCTGACAAGGTTATTCAAAGAGTTGGGGGAGGGGTGTTGACTATCTGCCATCACTATAATCTAGCTCTTCAAAATTAGGACGGTTAACACAGATAGCTCTCGTGCATCTTCGCGTGTAATAAAACACAACAACTAATTAATTAACCGGATGTCACCGTATAGCACCACCGTTTGATTCACTCTGCTTCTGCATACTTTTTCTATAGTGCATTCAGTACTGCTACATAATCTCCACGTGTAATGTTACGTAGGAGGTAATAAAGAAGATGAGTTTCCGGCATTTTTTACTTAAGGAATTCAAGAATTGAAGAGGGTCTAATATAACAATTCATATTAGGTGTGTGTGTATATTACGCCTTGTTATACTGTCCAGTTTTGGTTCTTTCATACTTGCGGTTTTACGTAGGAGTTATAAATAGGTGGATCTAGCATTTATGAATCACCAGCATGTGACTCAACCGCACCTTGTCCTTCAAAAACCCTTTTTTTATTGTAAAATTATGGTTCTCATGTGAATATTATTTATTAAAAAGGTGGCGTTGACTATTTCTTAAATTTACACCAAAACATTCTAGCTATATAGTCTTAGATCCAATACTTTAGTTTTTTTTTGTAGTTAAGCATAAAGCTACACAATGGGCTATCTTTGCTCTGTTCACTACGATTATCGAAGCCAGGTTTCCAAAGGTATAAGTCCGCAAATATACAGCTGTGCCACTAGGGGGCCTTTAGTTTATTTCGAGATAAATCTTTTTAATGTTTCTCATAGTTATAAATATTAAAAAGATAAGATAAAATATGTCAGAACTTAGACATTTGAAGAGGATCACTATTGGTGCCCACGCCCACAACCTTTAAAACAACCATTCAGTATGTGCCACCAGTTGTGTATGTGGTTATTTGCTCCTTATAAATTGAAAAAAAACAACAGCAAACACACACATACACACACATGATAAAACAAAACATTAAAAAACATTAATGATTATAAGAAAAACCTTGGCATCGCTTATCTCCTGAACATGGTATTCCAGCCCCATAATGATGACATACTTTTATCAATGACATAATAAAACTTGAGATGCTAATATGATCAAGTACCACTATTGAAAAAAGGAAAATTTATAATTGCTATCCAATGACACAATATAATTAGTTGAAATTATAATGTCATTATAATGATTGTGTGATGTGTCAGGTAATTACTATAATCCTATAAATGCGGAAAACAGGAAATATTATAATATTATGATTAATGTGCAATATAATGGATAAATGAAACAATTTCTCCAACTTTTCAAGTGACATGGTCTCGGAATCTTTCTAACTGAAGCATCTTTATTACGTGCCATATGTATACGGCTGTTCAAAGGCACCTATTTCTAGAGTCTATCAACAGTAGTAATCGTACAAAAATCAATATCTCACTGAAAAAAAAACACTGTGAGCATCAACCTCCTTTTAAACACTGAAAAGAAACGTAATTAGTTTATTTGGGGCTATCTGTGACAGCCGACCCTACTGAATAATCGGATTTGACTGCCATCCGATGACCCTCAAATACTAGGCACGTATTTGCAGCAACCACACCTAGCCCACAAATTGATGACATAGAATTGTAACGTACATCAAACATCGTATCATGTTCCAATCAACATGTTTCTTCTAAAGTATTTAAACTTTTATTATATCTGGCTGTGCTATGATGAAGAACATTATGAAAATTTTAGTTTTCAAAAAGGTTTTAAAAGAAGCCATAGGTGGCAGAATCCATCTTACGATTGCTTGTTTGTAGTTATGCACAAAGCTACACAATGTGCTCTGCCAACTACGGGTATGAAAAACCGGTTTCTAGCGTTGTAAGTCCGCAAACATACCGCTGTGCCACTGGTGGGCCCAACTTACGACCGTATCATGATAAACCTACACAATGCCTGATAGTCGTCCCGTTGTAGATGCATATATATATATATATTGTTAGGAGTACTTTTACGCGTTCCAATGAGCTAGTTTAAAGCTTTTTCAAGACGACTTGCTCTTAGCGCTAAGCGTTTTACACGTTTCCATGTGCACATTAATTTTTTTTTTCAAAATGACTTGCTCTTAGCGCTAAGCAGTTCAAAAATGAAAAAAAAAATGTGAAACTCTTTGGTACGATTTATAAAATGAAAAATCTTGCCATGTTCCGTTTGTTCATGTCTGAATCCTTTATTGTTCCGTTGATAATAACATAATCAATTAATGTTATATAATAAATCCAATCATGTGTTCTTTTTCTTAAAAGAGTTACCCTACCAATTTTTCAGATGGTTTGTTTTTACTAAAAAAATGTGAATGTACTTTAACTATTCTGTACTTTCTTTTGGCTAAATGTTCAGTTTTGAACAACATTTTCCAACAAGTTCATTTTATCAGATTTATTAAAATGTCTGTTCAAAAGCTTCCGACATATTAATAAAATAACATTTGAGTTTTTACTCAATAATACAGGTTTAACTTTTCTACATAGATTGATAATATTTTTGTAACATACATCCATTATAAAAAGCTATTTTATTTTGTAGTATTCTAGCTTTTTTACGGTACATATGAAAAGGACAAACGTTTGTTTATTTGTTCATCTGGATAATTCGTGCAAAGAATAGAGAGAAGGCAGATAGTCAACAGCATGCAACACCAAATCTTGTGCTACTCCAATCGAATAGCGGGAATTGACCGCTACTCAAGACTGATCATTACTCATATATATCCACCAACGACCCCAAGATATAAATAACAATCTTGCAGCAACAGCGCATGCACCATGAACACTCGCACTTACAGAATGGGCACGTTAACCATTAGCCACGTCTGTCCCCACGATGAGCTTAAGCAAAAGACTTTTAATCTGCACGAACACATGTCAGCCGTATTTAATCTGTGTGCCAGTTTTCAAACGAGACTCAAAACTCAAGCGCTTTCAAGTAGTTTACTATTCTTCTTTTATTCT